CCCCGGCGGGACCTGCGACTGCGGCCCCTGCCCCACAGCGCCCCCTCCAGGCCCTTGCCCCGCGCCCGACAGCGCCCCCGGGGGTGGCAAGGCGCCCCTGTGCGCGCGCCCCTGGGTGCTTCCCCTTCCCCTCTCCCCGGCCATGGCCCCCGGGGCTTAGACGCCTCCGCCGCCGCCGCTCGGAGCAGCCCGGGGGCCGGATGGACGGGGCCGCAGGGCCCGGTGAGTACGGGGCGGGGCGGGCGGCGTGCCCTTCCCGGAGCGCCCGGCCAGTTGAGCAATGCCAGTGCGCGACCGCTACCCGTTGGTGTCCCCGCGTGCTCCTCCGCTCCGTGGGCTCCGAGCATCTTTCACTGTTCCTCGGTCCCTCTTCCTAGTTACTTGAACCCTCCTACTGTCATTTCAGACTTACCCAACGTCACTCCACCCCCACGATACTGTGGACTCCTCAGTGTTTCCTTGCCCCCCAAGCTACTCTGGGCTGCTTCTGGTTTTTCGGGTGCCTTCTTCTGACCCCCACTGTTAACCTGGGACCTTCACTATGACCCTACTTTCCACTGATACCCTGTCCCGCCACCCTGGATCTCGTATCTGGTACTCTGGGTCCCTCAGTGTGACTATTTTTGTGCCCCCCCTTCTGTCCTGGTGCCCCTTTTCCTGGAGACCTGAGCTTGCTCCGTGGGGGGCCTGTTGCCCTGCCATCCCTCACCAGTACTGGGCCTCTCTGTGGCTCCCACGTTCCTCGGCAGTACTCCATATTTCCCTCTGGTACTCCATGGTACTCCGTGTCTTCCAGGAGGCTCAGACGGCAGCAGGAAAGGAGCTTTGCCAGGTTCCTCGCCTGCCCTGCCAGAGGAGGCCCTTGATCCGCTACCACCCGTCTCCTCCCCTCTGGGCGAGCCTCCAAGCCTGGGGCTGCTTGAAGGGGGCAGTCCTATAGGACATGCACGTCCTACTGGGGAGAGAGAATCCCTCCACCCTTCCTGCAGGTGCGTTCTGAGCTCTTCTTGCCCCTTTCCCAGGTGAGGGCCCTGCTCAGGAGGCCCTGCAGTCCTTGAGCCGGCGGCTTCGGGTGCAGGAGGAAGAGATGGAGCTGGTGAAGGCGGCCCTGGCAGAAGCCCTCCGCTTGCTGCGGCTACAGGCGCCCCCAGCCACCCTGCAGGGCACTGTCCCGCCAGCTCCTACCAGGGACAGGTATGCAGGTCATCCCACTCCCTGCCTCCTCCTTCCTGGGGCTTCTGGGGGCATCAGGTTGATTTGCTGTTTCCCCGGCAGCCCTGCAGCTCCCCCAGGACTGCCACCCACATGCAGCACCCCCTTGGTGAGCCGAGGCACCCAGACGGAGACAGAGATGGAGATGGAACCGCCGTCCCCCGGGCCCCCTGGCCTGAGCAATGGGCCCCGGCCTCCTCAAGGGGGCAGTGAAGAGCCTGGCGGGACCCAGTTTGAAGGAGGGGGCAGCAGCAGCAGTGGCACTGGCTCCCCCGGTCCCCCGGGGGTCCTCAAGCCTGTGCAGCCTCCACAGCGCGCTGACACGTAGGTGTCCTGTGGGAGAGGTGGGAGGATTGGGGAACATGATTGAAGGAGTGACCCTTGCCTCCTCTCTGTGCCCTCACCAGGCCACGGAGAAATTCTTCCTCCTCCTCATCCCCCTCGGAGAGGCCCCGGCAGAAACTCTCCCGGAAGGCAGCCTCCTCGGCCAACCTGTTATTGCGGTCAGGGAGCACAGAGAGGTGGGTGAAGCTCCCCCCCACCTGCCCCACCCCGTACTCAGGCTCTGACTTTCCACAGCCCTCACCTCCCTTCCCTGGGCAGGGTGGGGGACCTCACTGCCCAACAGGAAGAAAGGAACAAGCACTCATGTGGCGCCTGCTGTGTGCCAAACACTCGACTTCCTCCATCTCATTTAGTCCCCATGACATCCTTGGGGGGTAGGTGGTCTCATGCTGTCCATTGTCCAGGTGAGGAAGCAGGCTCAGGGAGGGTAAGTCATTTGCCTGGGGCCACACAGCTAGAGCCAGAATTTGAACCCAGCTCTTCCTGACTCCAGTTCCCGTACCCTTTCCACCGTATCCCAACACACCTTCCAAGATTCCAAGAGGCTTTCCGAAAGCTCCCATGCTTTTCGTGGATGACTGTCCTTAGGGTTTCAGCCCCCTAAATCTACCAAGTTGTGCTTCTAGAGGGCAGGGAGAAATTCTAACAGCTGAGTGTAATTGTGTCAGAGTGGGTCCAGGCCCCAGGACACTTGTGTTTTTATTCTAGCCTTGTCCAGGGGCCTCTCCTTTATTTTTTGAAGAGAGAGTATCATGTTAGTATCACCCAATGATAGTGATTTCTGCAATTCAGCTATCACTTTTCTCCTGAATAATAAAGGCTTTCTTGCTTACCTCCCAGACCCCTGATAGGCAGGGCTGGTGTACCTTCTGGATTCACCTTGGCCCCATTTTACAGATGGGGAAAGGAAAGGGAGGTGGTCAATATGACAGAGGCCCTGTGGTCTGGAGGAAAAGCCTCTGAATGGAGTCATAAGTCTTCCTGGCACCCTGTGCTGCCTCTTAGGAGCTTTGTAGCACTCAGCCCCTTCAGCCTCAATCTTCTCATCTCTTAGCGGGGCTAACAGTCTCCACCTACTTCTAGGGCCCTGAACGTACAGGTTGCAAACTAAAAAATCTGTAGAGGTGCCTGTGATCTCTGGAGTAACTTCCTTTCTTGTGCCCTACCCCGCCCCTCTCAGGTCTTGGGATCTGACCCCAATCCCTATGCTTTTCTCTCTTCCCAACAGCCGTGGGGGGAAAGATCCCCTCTCCAGTCCTGGGGGCCCTGGATCTAGGAGAAGCAATTATAATTTAGGTATGTAGAGGAACTTGGATAAGAGAGTTAGGGTTTGTGCTGCGGCTAGGGTTTGAGCTATTTTGGGGGACTTGTGAAGTATGGGAGATCAGTGGGTGGCACAAACAGTTTACACTCAACTACTAACCTAAAGGTTGGCGGTTCGAACCCACCCAGCAGCACCACAGAAGAAAGACTTGGCGATCTGCTTCTGTAAAGATCACAGCCAAGAAAACCCTATGGAGCAGTTCTACTCTGTAACACACAGGGTGGCCGTGAGTCGGAATTGACTCAATGGCAAAGGGTTTTTTTTT